AGTACTCAGAATTCTGAAAACAACAAAGCAGCTAATAATAGGTGATTTTCCTGCGGATGGATTCGTTCACAAAATCAGTGCTTCTTCGAGCTGCTGCCTTCCTACTTTGGATCTCATTTAGTGCTTGGTTATTCGGTGGAGTACACACAGAAACGATTCTAAAGAAAAGTATAAGTTGTTAGTCTCTTTATACAATTTCATGAAGTCCAAATGCAACGTCACTATGGAGGAGTTTAATAACTTAACCAAACAGGCGCACATTGATTGAGCACAAACCACAATGGACCTACTTGGCTTTATTTTAGTTTGTTTTCCAAACGTTAGCTATAATTGGTGAGGCCAAATAAAATACTTAATACATTTCTTTACTCTAATAGAGCTACGAAGGAGAAAGATGTTATTTAATACCTTGCCCTATTAATATTTCAATTTAAACAATTAGACAAGAGCTTTTCAGGTGAAACTTATCTCAGATTTTCTTTGAAACCGAAAAACCGTAACGACGGAATATCAATTTAAGTCCGTTTTTACCCACCTAAATGAATATCTTAAATACTCTTTCCTGTGCAAATAGGAACAAATTTCAGTGAACGATATACTCAGTAACTACCCTGCTATCCTTAAAATTAATAACTACATCGACATGAAAATTGAAAACATTAACAGCCGGGATTAGACAAAATAAATGTTCTACAAAAAAAGTTTCGATAAATACATTTCTCTTACAAAAAAAGTTGAAGGCACAAATTTCCGCCATCTTAACTATGTTAATAATAATAATAATAATGATAATTTAAACATATTTATACAGGATTGCTGCTTCAGTTTAGGATAGAAAACTGCTATCAATGCAGGTCCTGTTAAAAAAAATTAAATAGAAATCGATTTAGAGTAAATTATAAAATAGTTACAATGAACGAAAGTAAATTCGGACAATAATAAATTCTACGAATTATTAAAAATTATTTAAAATCATTAAAGATTTTTGCACCTTTATAAACCCGCTTAAGTATTAAGAAAAAAAGCTAGCTGAACATTTGCTTCTTCGAATATTTGCTTTACTTGAGATTGGACCGAGAAATAATATTGACTTATATTTTCGAAGGTCTGAGTATTATGGCGAAATCACTGAAATTAATTCGGAGAGGAATATTCCTTCAAACACGAGGGGGCATTTAAAAAAAACACCTTCAATTAGTTTGTCTTATGCCTCTTTCATTTTACCTAACGCTTCTTTCATTTTAGCTTATATTTATCCCATAAAAGAATAATGCATCTTATTATATAGCTGGTAGCGCCTATAAGTAAGATGAGGCGAATCCTGTGTTCTGGTGGCTACCGGAGAGGGTAAGATGGGCTCATCTTGCCCGCTCAGGTCTACCCGCTTTGATCCCGCTCAAGAAAAAAAGTGCGTGTAATGGACTTACAAAGTTCGTAGCTTTTGGACAATTTCGGCGACGAAGTTGCAAAAAGCAGTAAAACAAAGGAAAAAAATTAAACGAGCCTCTAATATACACTGTACTACAAACGCAGATGGTTTTATTTCCCGGCTTATAAGTCATTATTTATTCTTTTTAAAGCGAAATATAAGACGCAGAAAAAGAACTCGGCCAATATCCAGCCGTCTTGACCTCACGCTTGGTCAATAACACATATTAATGACCTTGTTTTGTCGCACTTTGTAATACAGTCGAACCTCGATTATCCGGACTGTTGGGACTTGGGTAAATAGTATGGATAATCGAGAGTACAGATAATCGAAAATATGAATTTTAATGAGGCAATAATGTAAACAAAAGAAATAAAGTCGTCCATAATGTTCGCTTAATAAAAGATATTATTAAAAACTAGATCATTGGATAATGCAATTCGAGACTTTTTTTTGGCTTAGCCATTATGGTATATCAGCCAACATGCCATAATCTGCAAATATGGCAAGCGTACGTGTCAGCTTAAAATTAAAAGAGAGCTAAAAATTTAATAAAATTTAATAATTTAATTTAACGTTTTTAATAAATCAATTATATATACAAGGCTAAAAAGATTAAGAAAATTATTAAAATGTTAAAACCAAACGTTTTCGGCTGTTTGCCATCATCACCCTGATGGCAAACAGCCGAAAACGTTTGGTTTTAACATTTTAATAATTTTTCTTAATCTTTTTAGCCTTGTATATATAATATCTAAAAGAAATAAAGATAACACATTTTTAATTCTAAAAGTCTGCTTCAATGACTCTCCGAGCGTTTGATCTTTTGAAAGCGGAGGAGTTAATGCGCTGTTGTAAACGCACTTTTCTTAACTTTAAACATAATCTCTGAATTTTTTACCCCATGAAGTTTTCAATATCATAGCTCATTAATATTCATGAAAAAAAAACGGGAACAGAGAAAAAGTCCGGATAATCGAGGTTCGACCGTAATCGTTTACATTTGTGATAAGATTGTCGCACTTCGTAAAAATCGTTTCCATTTGTGATAAGATTATCGCACTTTGTATGATAAACATAGGTACAGGTGGCCAAAGGACAATTATCATTATTATATCATTGGGTATACTTGCACTCTGACCATCTCTGCCAAGTTGATTGAAAAGTAAGACAGCTTTTTTTAATTACAAAGTACGACGGGCTGTTATTATAGAGTGCGACAGCTTTTTCATTACAAAAGTGCGAAAAGTGCTATTGCAAAATGCGAAAAGGGTTATTCCAAAAGTGCGACAAGCCTATGAGTGTTATTACAAAGTACCTCAAAGGGTGTTCTGTTGCATTTGGTAATCATGGTCGCACTTTGTACTAATGCTGTCGCAAGTATTCTCTTCTTAGCGTGTAATTGTTATGTCAGTTTTAGAATATAGTATTGTTTGAATTAGGTGTTATATATTGGGCTTCCCTGTCGTTTCAAGGAGGAAACATTGATTATGTTTACAACTGAAAATGGCCGAGACAATTCAAAAGTTTTGATCATCCTTGTCGCTAAAAGTTTTTTCTGGCTTCTTCTGTTCTCTCCTTTTCGCGTGAATTTCTAATTTGCTGATCTCATTCATTTTAACACCGTCAGTAGAAACATTATCGACGCACAAAAAATGATAACAACGACATGTAAAAGGCAAAATTTACTTATCATTATTCAGTATGCTCACAAGAAACTGGATGTCCACTGAGATTCCTATTGATTCGTTATAAACAGAGTCCCAAAACATATATGTACTTAAGCGGGAGGTCTGCTCCATTTAAAACGGTATTCCTGTAGCAGTCAGCCATTAATGACTGAGTATAAATGGACTGTAGTTTATCTATAACCGAGGTATGTGGTTAAGGCAATACCTAAGGTATTCAAGGTTGGGTTTCAAAGGTAGCAACGATAGTATGGGAGCTGAATTCACAATCAGCGAAAACGAGGGGGTTTCTGGAGTCAGCTCAAAGCTGCTCTATTTTTCACTGTACGAAGTAAAAACACGAATTTTACACATAAAAAATCCAAGGTTTTTTTTTTAAATAATTGGGAAGATGATTACTAATGTTTGGAAAGCAATTTTCAAATTGAAGCTCGTACACGTGATTGAAGCATGCTGATCATGAACAGCCCATTCGCTCAAATTAATAACTAGCTAATCACCATTTAATAGTAGATAAAAATGATTTGTATTCCGGACCGCATGCCGCCGGCAAAGTCAAATAATAGTTCATAATGTGTTGATTACTTTCTTTCTACAGTCGATATACTCGAGGAGGGTGAAAAAACATGAGTTTTGACCCGCTATTAAAAACGGCACTTCTTCGTTCTCTCGTCTTTTGGCTACTTGGCTCGATTAGTGCTCTGCTGTTTGTTGTGGTTGAGTACAAGGAAAAGGATGACAAAGAAGAAAAATACGAGTTATTGTTAGCTCTGTATGAGTTGCTGGAGTCTAAATACAATATGAGCATTGACGAGTTCAACAATATTTCGAAAACAGCACACGAGGCCTTGAGCGAGCCTAAACCACAATGGATCTATTATGACGCAATAGTGTTCATATTCCACGCCTGGACAACGATCGGTAAGGAAAGTAGTATTTCACACCCAGTAGACTACGATCTCAAATGAAATGACTCGAAACGCTCAGTTATTTCAGCCATGTTTTCAGATCTGTTCAGTGCTGGGTCGATCCAAAGAACTATGAGAATCGAAACTGAATTACATTTATAAAAATAGATGCTTTACAGAAAAGCAAACAAACAGACAATGAAACAGAAACGATATAGCCATGTACGATCCCTTCGAATCAGCGGTGATGGCTTACTGTCAAGTTCGTTTAAAACACCTCCTATAGGATTTTTAAAGAATTTTTACCAACTATTCTATGCATGGGTTTGCGTTGAACGAAAGTTTGTAGACCACGAAAACATTTTTTTTTTCAGACCATCAAAAGAACACATGGAACAATGATTGTTACTTCAAGTTTATGATAAAAATGAAAAAAATAAACCATTACAGGATAAATGTGAAAAAAAAATTATTTGAAGCGCCGAATAAACATGAGATATGATAATCGTGATGACCTTCTTTTAATTCAGTGATGAACAAGCATCTGTACCACGATGACCAAATAAATTGAAATTCTTGAGATGAAACATGCCGGCAAGGATCCCGAATTTGATAAGGACGATGATAATAACTGACAAGATAGAAATGCGCATAAGTTCTTTACACTCTCTTTCTACAGGTTATGGCAACATTACCCCAGAGACGTTAATAGGCCAAGTGATGTGCATTTTTATCTCTTTACTTGGAATTCCCGTCACTTTGCTTATGTTAAAATCAATGGGCGAGCTCATTGCCAAATGGGTGAACACAATCATCACAAAGTTCGAAAAGAAATTCCTAAAGAATCAGCAACCACGACATATGCAGATCAAGACTGCAATGGTCTTGTTCTCGATTATGGTACTTTCAATTCTTACAGCCGGTTTTTTATCGATGCGTCTCCACAACTGGTCTATCGTTGAAAGTGTTTACTTCTGGTTTGTGACATTTACCACAATCGGATTTGGAGACTACGTTCTAAGGGAGCCCCGGCAGATTACACACCTTTCTCTGAACATTTCTGTAAATGAAGAGAAAAAAAGAAGCACAGGTAAAATTATTGCTGTTCTTGTCGGTTCGTCTTCTGTGTTAATAGCGTTATGCATTGTCTCAAGTGTAATCAGCTCTATCATGGCTGTCATGGATAAACGGAGATGCCATCCTCTTTGTCCTGGATGGTTCTCTCCAAAAACTCAGGACCATGCAGAGAAAGAGGAAAGGGAATCTTATGAGAGACATGAAAATAATACCGTGTTTTCATCCTTTGGAGCTCATGCTTTTCAAAAGAAAGCTAACTTCGTATCTTTCTCGGAAACCGAAATGAAGTGACCGCCACTAGTGACGTATAATCTTACAGGAGAGGTCTGAGTGTTGAAGTTTTATCTAAGGTAGTCGTGCTGATTTTGCATGCAAAATTGTTTTGTAAACCAAGATTTTAAAGGATGGAGGAATGTAAAAAATGAGCGTATTGATGTCCACAAATTTGTGACTTTAGTTCAGAGATATTCGCGTCTCTGGCATCATACTAAATACAAGTGAAAGAGTTTCAGCAAGCGGTTGTATCTTAAACTTAAAGACAGAAGACAAGTAGTACACCGGAATCGCATGATAAGAGCTTAAAAGTGCCATCACGGCAAAGTAAAGACAGCAACAGTTCTTTTGGATACTGTGTGCCAGATAGCACAAAATATCATCATACATGAAGTCACTCACTGTATTTTTAAGCTCATTATTACAATTAAGAAAAAGATATAAGATAAATTATTATAGTTTGAATCGAGTCCTAAGATGCTCACTAACCCCTCACCAGCCATTACTCAATTCACAAATTAGAATAACAAAACTGATGTAATAGCTATAAAAGAAGACTGGCTCAGCTGCTGTAGGTTTTTCAACCTTTTAATGTCGGATATAGCTATTCCTGCTATATCTGCTCCGTTTAGTGCGCAAATAGAAGGTTTGTTGTAAGTTTGCAACATGCTGGTAGCATTCACGTTTTCCTTTTCCAGGGAATGATACGCCTGTCACTAGCTGTTTTCCTTTCAATTTCAGACTCGCAAAGGTTCAGTGGCATGACGCAAAGCAACTTAGATTAGCTTAACTGTTTTGTATTGCATTAAATAAGGAAATGTCTATCAACCAGTTACATCAAGGACAGTACATTTTTTTTTATAAACAAAGAGACAGGAAAAAGCCACGTCGAGGCTTGCTTGGGATTGGAAAAACATGATCACCGTTGTTTGTAGTGGTTTAAAGTGGAAATGGCTTTTCTTGGTATTTTAAAAATGATTAAAGAGTAATCACTTCAGAAGCTTGAGCCGTTAGAAGCATGATCATGGCAAATACAAGCGTTCTTCAGTAATCAAGTTATTGCGGCAAAACCATGCACTCTTTTCTAAGAAATGAAAAAAGCACCAGGCTTTCTCGATTCTTCTGTCTATGACTAAGCACGTAACATCATTTGCAAATCAAAATTTTTAATGTGTTTATAAAAACATAAACTTAACTGGCACAAAACTATTCCTACATTTTAGAATCACGAGTCAGCTTTATGCCACAGATGGCCAAATGTAAAATTTTCAAATATTCCTTGCTGAATGGAGGATCTTCTGGTAGCATAAATCAATAATCAATCCTTGAATTTACAAGTACACTGCAGCTGTGAGTAGATAAATTGTTCTCCGCCAAATTGCTTAAAAGTTAGTTATTTTTTCCATGCATGCTATCTTTGAAATGCAAAATTACAGCAGGTGCTGGGCTTAAGTAACCCAAACGTGATGTTTTGACATTGTCGTCCAATTCTGCTAACGAGCTCTCTTCATGCACCATACTGTAAGTGAAGCTTGTTTCTATCGCTAATTTGGTGAAAGGTCGTTTCCATACGTTTTAGACTTGAGAGAAAACTTGTTGTATGTAACACGATGACAACCTTTACTGCTGTTGTTAATGGGAAGCCACTATCTCAATTATAAGTCAGCTACGGGGATAAAAGCGTTTAACCTGGGCATAAACTGTAACGTATTTTAATTGTGGAAAGGTAAGTTTCAAGAAAGAAGTTCAAATTCTTTAGTTTCATCATCTGAAAACTGGGGCTGACACTGAAAGAAATATGGCAAGTAATATGTTTGCGTCTCTCAGACGGGGCGGTACTTATCAACTTTTTCCCCTAAATTTTCAACATAACTCGATTTTTGAAACTCAAAATTAACACAGAAATATGCTCTGGATTGAAAAACCCACCAGTGCCGATTAATTATGAATGCATGTGACACGAAGTAGCTTTATTTATTAAAGCGAGCTTCAGAAGAAACTACAACCAGTTTTTGAAAGCTTTGGCTGATAACTGCCGGTATCACCACTTAGGTGAGAGTAACTACGAAAACTTCTCATTTATTTAGCAATGTTAGATAAGTAATTTTGAAAATCCCCCATTGATCCAGTCGTTCTAATTATACTACGTTACAAAGGCAATGTATATGCACAACTTGCATTTCGAATTGATTCTTTGCAAGCACTGGTTATGGTGAATTGTAAATTTTAGTTTTGAGTAAGATCTTCCGATGGTTTTACGCATTGGTATTAGAACTCAGCTTATTCCCTTCCTTCGGTTTCCGAGCATTCCGGATTTCACCAAAATTTCATTTGAATGTTTAGATCGAGGAAAAAAATAGAATGAAAGCCTAATCTGAAGCCTCTACTAACTTTGGCGCATTCTAAATTGAATGGACATTTAAGGTGTACGAATTTAAGCCACTTAAAATAGATTTGAGTAAAGGAAAAAATGAGAAAAGCTCACTAGCATGAGCCAAAATGCTGAGTTAGTGAGGAGCCTTAGTAAGTGGATATCGATCGTCATGAAGCTGTAAAAGAGAGGAACCAAAACACGTCAAAATAAAGAGTGCTATAATTCTGTTTGACATAAAGCTGTAAAAACGAACGATAAAAGCCGACGTTTCGGAGTAGTCATGACTCCATTATCAAGGAAAATATAAACAATCATGCAAATTGCAACATATAAAGCGTTTTTGGCGCGAAGAATTAACATAAGAGGGTGCGAAGATCATAAAAATATTGTAGAAATACTTTCGCACGAATGGAGTCTGATTGCACGTTAAGATTTGGCTTTAACGCTCTTATAAAAAGCATTTCGTATTCTAAGCAGTCAAATTTGATTCTGCATTTCTTGAGCACTTCGAAATGCTTTAGCAGGTCCTGGGACATTGTCCCGTACATGTTCTTGTAGTGTTTGGCAATGGCGGAGAATTGTTTTTCATGTCCTTTTACGCGATCATGTAAATGCCCGCGTGTGTAACCTACATAACCCGCATCACACAGGTCACATTGAAAACTGTAAACAACACACTGCTGATTTACAATCGGCGGCTTTGGTTCCCTCACACTCAATTCTTGTTCAATTTTTTGGCTCACAAACACAGGCTGGATGGTGGTGTGTACTTTTAGGCTTAGGTCCTTGAGTTGTTTCCTCACAATATCTGCTGAGATTTGATCTTTAAATCGTAAAACCACTCGAATCGTGTCGTCTGTCTCTTGAGATGGTGATAAAGGCTGCTGTTGGTCGCAAATTTTGGAGTGAACGAAGCTTTTGATGGTAGAATTAACAAGATGTTTGGGATACTTCAACCATGAGAATACTGATTTCAAACGGTCACATTCGTCGGAAAAATGTGTCCAAGATGAAGATAAACGACGTGCTCGATCAAGCATAGTTCTTAGTAAACACTTTTTGTAACGATTGTCGACATGACTCTGATAGTGTAAGAGTAGACCTGAATTGGTGGATTTTACATACACCTTTGTTTCTATTTGTGGCGATCGATTTAGCAACTGGATACCCAGAAATGGGAGCATTCCATTGCGTTCGGTTTCCATCGTGAATTTTACGGAGGAATGTGCTTTGTTGAGCGTGTCTAAAAAGTTAGATGCTGTTTCTATATTGGGCATGATGGTGAAGGGAGTTTACCCTCTCGCTCAAGGTTTTCTTCGATGTGGGACATGAAGACGTTAGCTAGTAAGAGACGGAGAGGGGACCCCATAGTCACGCCATCAGTCTGTTCGTACAGGGCTCCATTGAATTGGAATAGTTGTCCTTTGGTAGCTACACTGAGGAGGTCCTCGAGATCCGTTTTGGTGAAGTTCAATTCAAACGTTGTATTAAACCAATTGTTTGCAAAAGCTCTGTTCGCGAGAATCTGTATTGTTTCATCTAAGGGTACGTTTGTAAACAGGGAAGACACGTCGTACGAAACCAAAATGTCGCCTTCTGCGATTCCCAAGCTGCGGAGTTTATTTTCAAATGGAATGTATATGATCTGGATTGGTTGGACATTCGTCGAAGGAGTTTATTTCTAGTTTGTAACCTTTACCACGATTGGTGACTACTTACCACTTATCAGACAAGAGTAGCCACTCCTTCTTTAGAGATTAAAAATTCTTCTAGCGATGAGTGAATCATATGACCCGCCCTCTATGTTAAACGTTTTTAATTGGCGTTACTTACATTTTTATTTTGATTGGCTTGTGCATTGTCTCAAATGTAGTGGACTTCATCATGAAGGTCCTGGAAGAAAGGAGATTGCGGCCTCGATTTTCCTCGTGTCTTTCTCGAAAAAACAAAAACCAAGCTGAAAGTGAGAAATGCGAAATTCCTGATAAGGAAGAGGCAGTAAATAGATATACAGACTTGGAAAATTATGGACTCCTTAAGGAGATATCACAATAATTTGTAACACTGGTTAACAAAGTTTGGTTGTTTGCAATCAATCGTCTGAGTCAGAATGCTTAGGAATCCATCTAGTGATAAAAAGGGAAACTACAACGATAATGAACATCTGAAGTTCAATTAAGAGGAGCTGTATTTATTGTGTACGAAGTAAGAGAAGATGTATCAAGTATCCATGGTGATCAATCTGACTAAATCATCATCCGCACGTTTCTATTTGGGAATGCACCATTGGCGACACTTCTTAGAGAGTCGTTTTCTTATTGTTAACTTAAAGACCTCGAACCCAGTATTCATACGGCTTTGCTCAGATTCATTTCCTTAAACAAACAATGTTTTTTACTCAAGCAGTGACTCTATGTCACTGTAGTTGAAATACACAATAACACTAGAGTGTAGTTATGGGCCTCCGCGTTAATTCCTTGGTCAGAACTGGATTACAAGCATCAAATACATGCTTCCTCATTCTAGTTTAACCTGTTTGATCGGTTTCTGTAGGTGAACTTAATTTCGTATATTTGCTCACGATGCTGCTAATAAATTGCCAGTTTACTATTACCATAGAGATGAACCAAGAATGTCATTTTAAACAGCAGGTGTGTGGCAAAACAGTAGAAAAGTGTGAGTATAATGCCAAGATCGTTGTCCTTAAGCACATTACCAAGAGTTCGATTGTCTAAGTTGCATCGTGAAATTAGAGATAAAGTCAAACTAATTTGAGATTCTCGTCGAGCACCAATCCAGTGGAATTTGATGGATTGCACTTAACTCATGATCGGTCCGTTGTTTCGCGAATTAACATAAGAGTCGGACTTAGTTTCCAGTAAATTGATGATTTGACTCTCGTTTCAACAACGACATGTATAGATCGGTTTCACCGAGGATTAAGAGTTAACTTCATCCATAAAGGTGAGTTAAAGGGATAAATAATTTTATTGGTTAATTGGAAATACTCAGTCTGGCTCTGATTAAAACGGCCTTCAGCTTGTGAAAAGTGGTTTAGCGACAGTAGTATTTTTCCTCAAGTGTGAGACTGTTTCAACAGATATCAGTTGAAGAGTCATAACCAGGAAAGATATATCACTTATAAAAAAGACTTCTACTAGGTGCAATGCTGATAGCAGCACAGCTAATAAGACAATTTTTGGGTTGAACTTCGTACCAAAAATCAATATTATTCTCGCGTGAATATTCAAATGAGTTATGGTGGAAAACTTGAATGTTAATATTGCCGCTTAAGTATTAAGAAAAAAAGCTAGCTGAACATTTGCTTCTTCGAATATTTGCTTTACTTGAGATTGGACCGAGAAATAATATTGACTTATATTTTCCATACGTTTTAGACTTGAGAGAAAACTTGTTGTATGTAACACGATGACAACCTTTACTGCTGTTGTCAATGGGAAGCCACTATCTCAATTATAAGTCAGCTACGGGGATAAAAGCGTTTAACCTGGGCATAAACTGTAACGTATTTTAATTGTGGAAGGTAACTTTCAAGAAAGAAGTTCAAATTCTTTAGTTTCATCATCTGAAAAGTGGGGCTGACACCGAAAGAAATATGGCAAGTAATATGTTTGCGTCTCTCAGACGGGGCGGTACTTATCAACTTTTTCCCCTAAATTTTCAACATAACTCGATTTTTGAAACTCAAAATTAACGCAGAAATATGCTCTGGATTGAAAAACCCACCAGTGCCGATTAATTATGAATGCACGTGACACGAAGTAGCTTTATTTATTAAAGCGAGCTTCAGAAGAAACTACAACCAGTTTTTGAAAGCTTTGGCTGATAACTGCCGGTATCACTCCAGTGTTACTTAGGTGAGAGTAACTAAGAAAACTTGTCATTTATTTAGCAATTTTAGATAAGTAATTTTGAAAATCCCCCATTGATCCAGTCGTTCTAATTATACCACGTTAGGAAGGCAATATATATGTGTATCCTCTGCATTTCGAATTGATTCTTTGCAAGGCACTGGTTATAGTGAATTGTAAATTTTAGTTTTCAGTAAGATCTTCCGATGGTTTTACGCATTGGTATTAGAACTCAGCTTATTCCCTTCCTTCGGTTTCCGAGCATTCCGGATTTCACCAAAATTTCATTTGAATGTTTAGATCGAGGAAAAAAAATAGAATGAAAGCCTAATCTGAAGCCTCTACTAACTTTGGCGCTTTCCAAATTGAAAAGACATTTAAGGTGTACGAATTTAAGCCACTTAAAATAGATTTGAGTAAAGGAAAAAATGAAAAAAGCAGGTTCTCCTAGCATGAGCCAAAATGCTAAGTTAGTGTGGAGCCTTTGTAAGTGGATGTTAGTCGTTTGGGGTGAATATCTCAGCACAGGTCATTAATACTACTGGAAACTTAGAAATCATAAACATCAAGAAAAATATATCGTTACTTTTCAGCTAAGTGTTTAAACAATTAGAGTCGCACGCAATAGAAAAATAGAAGTCAAAAGTAGCTCAAGCAACGGAAATGGCCATTGAGCCTTGAGACGTAAACTGTCATTTAACCCATAATGGGTCACAATGGTATATGACCATGCAAATTTTCACCTGCCTTATTACTCAATATCAGTCAATTAAATTGGATATTTCGGCTGGGCTTCCTCCAGCTCATCAAATATTGTTTGGCATTCAAATGTTTTGTTCTTTATTTCAGTGATTATAGTTCTAAAGACTTGAAATGAACCTCCTGATAAAAGCAGTGCTTCTTCGAACTCTTGGCTTCTTTCTTTGGGTCTCTCTTAGTGCTTGGTTGTTTGTCGTGGTTGAATATGAGGAAACAGACGAAAAAGAAGAAAAATATAAGTTGTTGCTTTCTTTGTACGAGTTTCTCGCGTCTAAATACAACATGAGCATCGAAGAGTTTAATAATATCTCCAATTCCGCTTACGAGGCTTTGAGCCAGCCTAAATTACAATGGACGTACTGCAGAGCAACGGATTTTGTTTTTCAGTCTCTAACCACCATTGGTAAGCCTAAGTATACATTAAGATGTAGAATATTTCTCGAGAGTTCGCTTCATTAAAGTAGTACAGGAAGTTTTCCTACAATGTTTTCGCGAAGTAAATTAAATTTCACAAGCTTACCGGCCGATTACTCCGCTCTATCGTGTGAGCCTAGCATAGTTTTATCATGGCACTGAGTGTGCTTCGAATGGGTGAAATATGACGCAGATTAATCACGAAAGATCATCAGAAAAAAGAAAAATAACGAGGAGCCGATAAAAACTCAATGCAATAACAAGCAATTTGAACGAAGCGCGGAGCGGAAACGTAGGTACTAAAAACGCGATTGAGTTTATTTTTGCAAATGTTTGGTTAACTGGCCGGTGCAAGTTGACCAATCAGAGAAGGAAGCAAAAAGTCAGTTAAAAACTGCTTCAAAGGGGCTGAGAGTGTTGTATCTGCCATGGGCGGGATTTTAATCCATCGCAGATAATTTTCACAACCCCTAGTAATAGCCAAGTTCCTCCTGACGATAATGATTTGTATTCTGGGGGAGCGAGTTACCATATAAGAACACAGCGCCGTATGGTCCAGAGTCAAGCACACAAACTACTAATTTATCACTTTTTAACAAGTCTATCCATTCCTTTTTTTCCGTTTCCTGCAGGCTATGGATATATCACTCCTCGGACACAGACAGGCCAGATGCTTTGCATCTTCGTCTCGTTGCTGGGAATTCCTATCACATTGCTTGCATTTAAGTCAGTCGGTGAACTCATAGCCAAAGGGGTGGCCACATCTGTTACAAAGTTTGAGAAGAAAATCTTGAAGAGGTCCGAGCCCAACAAGTTGCAAGCAAAAAGTGCTCTGATTCTGTTTGTGATGATGACATTATTAATAGTGTTAAGCAGCCTGTTGTTGGTTTACTTTGCAAATTGGTCTTTCGTCACAGGTGCTTATTTCTGGTTTATAACATTTACTACAATCGGATTTGGTGACTACGTGCCAGGGCTTCCCAAAAGGATGAGGCAATTAACTCCGAATGATTTTACGTACGAAGACAACGACAAAAGACCTCGGGACGGAGGAGAAACCGAATTTATTTTCGAAGGTCTTTTTCTCCCATTGTACTTGATTTTGGGCTTGTGCATCGTCTCGAGTGTTCTCAATTCCATAATGATGGCCCTCGAAGAACACAAGTGTCGGCCTCCGTGTCCCGGATGTGTCTCCAGAAGGACACAGAATCAAGGGGACATTGATGATTACACTCCAACAGAAGGCGAAGCTAACACGGCGACTTGCTTGAGCATGGATAACTATGGATTTCACAAGGAAAACATGACACCAGTGGTGCAGTAAATGAACCGAAGTAACTGTTTTACACCAGTCCAGGAGTCCACTCACCCACCGACTAATTCACAACAGGTCGACTCGCCCTCACCTCGACTTACCAATAGATCAACCCGGCCACAACTTGACTCGCCAATGGGTTAACTCACGCACAAGTTAACTTGCTCAAGGTTGAATTCTGTTATGGATCAACTTGCTCACACAACTCGCCTGCAGTGTACTCGCCCAATATGCTAATTCGCCCATAAGTCAACTGACCAACGAGTTAACACCCCTACAAGTCAACTCGTAAATCAAATTGATACATGCCACAAGAAAAAAAAAAAATTAAACGAGTTTTTCGCCGGATAGAAAAAGGCATCAGCATTGCTATTCACCTCAGCAGATGACAAATCAACAAATAATCATGGATAGATGTAAAGCTAGTTTGAGGTTACTGCGACACTTACCAACAGTTGACTTTCAATTACACAAATACATTACGGGTCTTTTGGGCATCAAAACAAGTCAGGAAGATGGCAGTAATGTCACCTCCTCAGTCGACCCCAACCAAATTGCGTGAGATAGAAATTCTCATTTATGCAATTAAACTTGCAAGCAAATTGTGCTCTGAATAGAACCAACCTGACACAAAGTATAAAAGTAGAAAAAAAAAAACACACACACACACACACACACACACTCACAATAATAAAAATCTGGCGACTTTAGTTATAGGGAGATTTTAAAGACCCCAGACGTAATTACAAGTCTTACAAGTCCAATTCGTCTCTCCGGCTGCGTAAGGTCAGCGGCACAGTATGAAGCGAGATGGACTACAGACATCCACAATAGTCCTTTTTACAGTTCTGGGCTTGGTGGCCAAGCCTTTGAACAGGAGTAAGGCTAAGGATGACCCTGTTGTGATAGAGACCTGTATCTAGTTAGCATGATAACAAAGACATTTGCATTTGAAAAGCAGCAACATCTCTATCATAACAAGGTTACCCTTAGCCTCACTCCTGTTCAAAGGCTTGCCCAACAAGCCCACAACTGTTAAAAAGAACTATTGAAATTCGTCGACAACGAACATTTATTTGCCGATGCTAAACACCCTCCCTAAATACATCATTATCATCCATACAAACACGGCTTTATTTTGAAAAAAGCTTACAGGAAGTTTGTAAAAATGTCGTTACTGCCACTATTTTGTTTAAAAGTCTCATCTAGATATTTTCTACGTGCTTAAAGTAACCTTAGTCATGTAGACGAAAATGTCCCCATATTAGCATACGAAAGTCACTTATCAAGTGTTTCCCACAGAGTAAAGTGTAGCCCTGCAGAAGATCATTCCGGTGGTCTTTTTTTTTATTGGTGCTTCGTGGTGACAATCTGTCAAGGCCTCTAATTTCATCGGGAAAACTTGTATAAATAACACTAGAATATGACGTACCAGGCTAACTAATTATGTTTTTCGTTCCTTTGAATATTAAATTTTTTTTTTGGAAAAATCTTCAAATGGTGATGAACGAATCATGGAATGTCATGCAGTCGTGCAGAATGGCATTGTTGGCCTAGCATCTCTTTTAGAGGAAAAACTGATCGTAGTTTTATGAGGCAAGTGTGAGGAGAAGGTATCAATTAATTTCTGATTCGTGTTTTCTTTGCCAAACACTCCAATCGCGAGCTAGTTTTATCATAAAACTCTATCTAAGTAAATTGCAATTAATTTCTATTTATTACTGAGCTCAAAGCCTGTAAAACGTTGCAGTGCTGTCTTCATTGTCCACATTCTGGGAAGATGCCTTAAATTTCTGAGTAAATGATTACTCAGAATGATCACTGAAAACGCAAACGTTTGACACAGTTTAAACTACGATATAATGGTTTATTGCAAAAAATAAAATGTTAAAAACTTGGTATGTGTTGAAAGCAGCTAACTATTAATATTCAATTTTTTTTAAACGCTGGTTGCTTTATTTTAATCTTGATAGAGCAGATAGATATTTGTTTGTTGTCCTTGTTTTGTTTTGCATTTCAACCTCTTCAAGCGAAAGGCAATGCTGCAACGTCTGAATCGAACGTTGCTAGGTTTAATACAAACTTGCAGCCACTGAACCTTCTATAACAAGTCATGTTAGATTAACCCTTTCGAAATTCGTAATTTAGGAGGTGTTATCCGGATAATAACGATGTGAATCAGCAGGTGCACCAGCACAATCAAATTTCACTCCTTGAATCTCACTATCTTCGAAGACTTCAAGGTATTCAGTTTCCCTTTGTTTTCCTCCCCCGACATATTACTCTGTAATCGTGAGATGACAGCCAAGTTTTTATTGGCATCAACATATTACCGAAAGCATTACATATTACGATCCTTTCCTTTATTTTCGCAGGAAAAGGTATATAATAAAGACAAAGCATTGGCGATGCATACGCTGTTGAAAACTGCGTTTCTTCGAACGTTTGGCTTTTTGTTATGGACTTCATTTAGTGCATGGTTGTTTGTGACAGTAGAATACACGGGGAAAGATGATAAAAAGGAAAAATATGATTTGTTACTCTCGCTTTACAAATCCATGGCTTCAAAATACAACATGAGCCTCGAGGAATTCAATGAAATTTCTACAATTGCATATGAAGCATTGAGCGAGCCTAAGCCTCAATGGAACTACCACGTTGCAGTTACGTTCGTAATTCAAGCTGTGACCACAATAGGTAAGGTGAGATATGATATTATTAATTTTTAAGACTATGAAAAAATAGAATGAATGACACAAGGTTATGTACAAATGAGTCTGCTTAGCTCCCAGCCGTCAGTTATTGATCCAAAGAATCTTAAGAGAAATGGGAAAGAATCGAGATACGCAACGAAGAGAACAAAGTGAAAGCGGAATCCCATTTATTCTCGCAAGCTTTTCTCGCCGACTAACCTTTAGCCCGGCGTTAATTGACGAAAGTTTTAACCGTAAAGCCATTACTCTATTGACACCGTCGAGTTAGTCACTCACAGAGTTTGTTTCCGCGAACTATTCGATGCTTGCCTTTCATTTGCGAGAACTGATGCCTTCCTTTGTTTAAGGTAACTTTCTTCAATTCTCAGAACTCTCCCTAGACCAAGTAAGGAAAAAGACAAACAGAGGATCGAGCAAAAGGACACATGTAATCGCTTGCTTGCTCGTACAAAATGATTTTAGCATGCTTCATCTAGTGGAATACCTTCCATCAAGTGTACACCCTATCCACCGGCTCTTGGTTTTGCATCCTCTCCCTTTTTTTAATTCTTGTTCATATCTGTGTTTTACAGGGTATGGATTCATCACTCCTCAGACATCCGCTGGTCAGTCGTTGTGTATCTTTGTCTGTTTACTGGGGATTCCCATTACTTTGCTCACATTGAAATCCATCGGCGAACTTATCGCCAAATGGCTTAACACAATCGTCTCAAAGTTTGAAAAGAAAATGCTTAAAATACCAGAACCAAAACAGATGCAAACGAAGAGTGCAGTGATCTTGTTTTCATTTATGGTGCTTTTGATTGTCGTGAGTGCCTTGTTGATTAGGGATTTACACTGGTCTTTCGTTGAAGGGGTCTACTTCTGGTTTGTAACATTTACTACAATCGGATTTGGTGACTACGTTCTTTGGAAACCTGCAAGGATCAAAAAGTTATCTTTCAATAATTCTGAAAGTCACAGTTATAAGTCATCAGACTCAATGCAGATCACTTTCCCAATATTCAAAGATCTCCTCAAAGCGTTTTACTACATTGTTGCGTTGTGCATTGTCTCAAGTGTGCTAAACGCAATTGCGGTGGTTATGGAAGAACGAAGATGCCGTAGCGGATGCCCTGGTTGTATTTCACGAAAGAAAAAGAAAACAGATCCGAAATACCTTGAAGAAGAAGAAGAAAAGCAGGAAAGTATTCCTGATGTACGTGATTTAAAGGTGGAATATTCTGGCCCGAAGCAAGTTGGATCCAAGATGAAGGATGTGAACATATCAATGGAATTAAACGAACTTTAACGATATAACTGGTTCGTGGACGACCAAACACACCCTAAACTACTAATTTGTGAATATTTTAATTTCTTTTTTGTACTCATAGTGATGTCAATGACTGAAAATGTATTGCTCAAAATAGACATTCTTAACTGAGTGGAGTGCATTTCTTTTGCATGATATTGGCCACTATATCGTAGTCAGTGGAGATACACCTAGGTTTAGGGTAAGGGTTAGATAAATTCATGTCATGGTGATAACCCAGTAAGGCATGGAATCTCTTTTTTGTAACTTTGTCTAATTAAGATAGGAAGTGTTACCGATTTGAATGTAACCTATCGCAAGCCGTAGTTATTTTCCTTTCGGTGGAATCAAAATAAAGGAGAATTTTTTCCTTCCAGGCTCCGGTTGTTCAAAGGGCGGATAACGCTATCCAACAGATAAATCGCTATCCAGCGGACAAGTGTTACCAAAACGTACTGCGCTATCCACCGGATAGAGATTTATCCAGTGTATAACGTTATCCATCCTTCGAACAACCGGGGCCAGACTGGTAACTGCTTCCTTACACCGTTATATGAATTACCCATCAATTTTCCACCATCGCCGCGAAAAAAAATTGAAATTGTGCCAAAAGCATTTGCCAAATGCAGTTTCCTCATGAATAACAAAATGTGATGTTAATCTTTATCAATGTGACCTCTTAAAGTACAGAAATGAAGATGTCAAGGCTATATGCCCATGAAATCATCGACGGGCAAGCTACATTACTGGAAATAAGCCAAATCAATTATAATCATCCAAAGCTAATGTATATTCATGATACAGGGATTTGTAAATATTCGGCGGAGATGAATGCCATCTCCAGCAGAGCTTTTCAGTCCTTAATGACAGGTAAAAACAGTTGCCACGAGACAGCACGAAATTCGTGTAAAAAGCTATGAAAGATATTTACTGCAAATCATTACAAGGAGAGACCCTGAGAATGCCAACCAAATGTTTACTTCAACAGGCACGTAACCACAACAGTGGTTATAGTCAATTTAAGGCGCCAAAAAATTCTGGTGTATCGCAAAACTGAGGTAGAAGCGTTGATACAGCCGTCAGGTAAGTCTGTATTTGAGTAAAAGCGGCCAGTACGGATTTTACCTTCGCGTTATCAAACCGTTCACTGAAGTGCTGCGTAGACTCCACCACAGTTATAGTAACCAGCTATGGAAATAAGAATTTATTGCGTTCAATAAAATTTCTTCGTTTTTGTGAATCAATAGAAATTATTCTTACTTAAGAAGGCAGACTATTTATTAAAGCCTCAATGCAAATTTTGTATACCGTATTTGAATAAAGCCAGATGGTTTTTGCTAATACCAAAAAAAAAAAACAACCAACGGGTATGTTAGGATACCATTTCTACGTGGAATTCTTGTCAAGAGAAGGTAAATTTCTTACACTCACCTATTCTTGACATTTCGCCCTTGACGAAGTACCCTAAAACCAAAATATTTCAAGCTAAATTGCTTCCGTTTCAATATAAGATGGAGGATATTAAGAAAGCCGTAGCACTTTAGGATGTTATTTGTGAAGAAGAGAAGAAAAAGGCTATTTAGTAAGTTAGAGGATGGTGAGGAAGTTACGTTAAAAAGTGTCAATGATTTAATCTAGCTGTCAGTTTAGCTGAGTACGCAGAAAGATATCGGCAAAGATCATTCTTCCAATTGTAAAGCTAGCTATAGATGATTCAAGAAGACAACGAGTGCTGCTATGAACTCTGCAGAATTACAAACGATGAAAAGACCACCTTATCATCCTGAAATTACCGTGTGCAATGGACACCTGCTGTTTCACCTAAAATAATTCAGTAGAAATGGTGTTTTCCTTTACAAATACCTTGTGATTGATCATTGACCATCGATCAGTCCCACTTCAGTAATTTTCTGACTGGTTTTGCGGTATTGAAATGATAGTTCACCTCATGGAGTCTTGTTGGCATAGAGCTCTGTTCTGATATTTCTAATGAAACTCTTTTTGAAGGTGTAATTTCTCGGCCATGGATCCTCTCTTCAAAGCAATGATCTTTCGGACCTTTGCTTTCTTACTATGGAGTTCACTTAGTGCTTGGCTGTTCGCTATGGTTGAATACACTGAAAAAGATGAGACTGAAGAGAAAGAACAGTTGCTACTGTCTCTGTACAAGACAATGCCATTTAAGTACAACATGACGGAAGTAGATTTCAAAAACTTTTCCAGCTCCTCGTTCGAGGCGTTGAGCAAACCTAACCCTAGGTGGACGTTTTTTACCGCTTTGATCTTTGTCACTCAAGCCATGACCACTATAGGTAAGTTAAAACACGAGATGTGTCTAAGCTATAACAAAATGTCATTTTTAAAAAAATTTATCCGGGAAATAATCAGAATCTAAAGCACCAACAGTGACGGAGTCAGCCAGAAGATCCAATGAACGTAACTGCATCATAAGGATTCTTACTTAAAAAGACTCAACGTGGGTTCGCCTTAAGTATGGCTCAGGCTTGTCTTTGAAATTCTTCTTGGTGCATCAAATCCCAGAAAGTTATAATTGGAATTGCTTGGGGCCGCAAACCGGCAGGGTTCGACCATCCCACCAACCTAACGTGTTAATTTTTGTTTCTGGTCTCTATTTTGCAGGCTTTGGAAATATAACTCCGAAGACACCTGAAGGCCAAATACTATGCATCTTCCTTTGTCTACTTGGCATTCCAATCACTCTCCTTATGCTAAACTCCATTGGTGCAATCATTGTCAAACGAGTCAACACACTTGTGAAGAAGTTCGAGATGAAAATCCTTAAAATAGAAGAACCAAACAATGTAGAAAAAAAGAGTGCAGTGATCTTGTTTTTATTTATGGTGTTAGAAATTGTGATGAATGCTGTGGTTGTGTCAAATTTAGAGGGCTGGACATTCGTCGAGGGAGTTTATTTCTGGTTTGTAACACTAACAACAATGGGTTTTGGTGACTACATTCCAGAGAGGCTCAAAGCGACCAATCCCTCGAACGAAAACAGTTCCCCAAGTTTGTTAAGCTTTTTGGAACTGGTTCTTGTTGTGGGAGGATTATGTATTGTTTCTAGTGTATTTAACTCCCTCATGGCGGCCTTGGATGAAAGAAATTGGCGGTTTAAGTGTTCCGCACGTATTTCTAGAAGAAGACAGGGGCGCGTTGACACAATAAAACAACCTCATGACGATAACATGACGTCTAGAAGAATGGAAAATCTAGGTTTGGAGAATCTTGAAAACACAGAAAACCGATAGGAGCCTCTATGTTCTCTAACTCAATTGCAGATCGTCCCTGCACTCTGGGCCAGAGGAATTTAAGTTTTGGACACCGAATTTTTCATCGAGCTAACTAACGATGACGCAACTATTTTGTTGATGTCTGATGGAAATGTGTATGGAGCGTCATTTTAATCTCTATGAAGTCCAATGTAAATTAAACCTTTCTTACGAACAGCAAAACTCAAACAATGAAAAAAAAAAGAAAAAAAAATTAGCTTCCTTTGGCACCCATTCTATGCCAAGTTGTGTTTTATAGCGAATGATTTTCTTTCGAAAAGTCAAGTTAACTAAATTTGATACTAAACTTGAAGAACGTCTATTCCAACTTTGTGCCACTGCCCGCCGAACTCAGATGAATTTTATCCAACTGTGGAATCAACATGGAATAGATCTGGCTTCTGACGTCGAATCTAATTCATTGGGATAAAATAAAATTTATAGTAAAAGAAAAAAAAACTGATTAAAGCTTGTATCCATCCCATAATTTTAAACAGTTTAAATAATTCATGTACTAATTTTAGCATCATTTAGAAGAACGTTTAGGCAAGACTTTCGTAGCACTAAAAAAAACAGAGCCCTCGAACAACTGCACTTTAAAAATCTGTCGTTTTATATTAACAGACCAACGAACACGAAAGGAAAAGGAACTAATCTTAATGATAAACGAAGACGTACTACCCGACAGGCTCCAATGATTAAACTTAAAGCCTTGGTCAAACGGCACATGTTAGTCGATGATAGTTGATGATAGTCGATGACATTTGAAACGCGCGCTTCCGTTCGACCACCAACTATAATGCACTATAATCGACTATCACCAACTATCATTCATTTTGAGCTTGTTCAAATTCTTCATGATAGTCGATGATAGTTTTTCTCGTTTGACCACCCCTTCCCGCCCACTGATTGTAGATTTGTCATCAACGAAATTTNNNTCAGCTTCAGCTTCAGAAATTCGTTTTTATACCCAAGATAATAATAATGAGAAAGAAAATATTGAAAACCAAGAATCTGGAGAAAGCGTCAACTCGCAGGAATTCGAAGAGACACCGCCGAAAAAACAGCGTTTCACTAAACGTTCAACGGCGAGATGGAGTAATGACCTGATATTACGTCTAATAGACGAATATGAGGCCCGGCCCTGCCTTTGGGACATTTTTTTGAATGATTACCACAACAGAGATGTTACAGGAAGTTCAGTTGCTCGCGCGACTGCCGGTGAACTATCATCAACTATCACGAACTTTTTTGGCTGTTTGACCATGCGAATGATAGTTGGTGATAGTTGATGATAGTTTGAAGAGAATCAACTTTCATCGACTATCTTGCGCCGTTTGACCAAGGCTTAAAACGTTACCACGTATAGTTTGCATATTCATGAATCATAGCGTTGTCTTCCGCTTATTGCCTTTGTTATCCATTACTGGCTGTAAGTGACAACGCTGTTGCAATTGAGTGACATTTCAGTTTTCAGTGTAATCCTTAAGTCTTCCCATGCTTGGAAATTATGTTCGCTTTTACATATTTGGGGAGAATTTTATACTTGTGCAATTTTAGCCAAAAAGGAACTTTTACTTGGCTTTCTGCCTTCAAGCAAATGAAAAATAACACCAATACAAATAACATGATTGTGTCCAAAAAAAAAAACACGCTATGTATTGTGGCAAAAAATTGCATCAAAATACTATTTTTTCAGGTCTAAGCAAAATTATTTAAGCTTTTTATACACTTTCATCAGTTGCCAATCTAATTCAGATAGTAAGAACGCTTTTAAGGGACGTGAACGTAATTGTCGGTGCATTAAGTGCATACATTTGTTGTGTTTGCAGCCGTCGTTTAAGGTTTTCCGAAGACGGATAAGTGATGGATATATATTAGAGAGAAGAAAAAAAAAATAAGAGAAACATTGTTTCTAACACAATACGAATTAACGTTATTTCATCGCAAAGCAGCGGATTGGCGCGCAACATTAACAAGAGGCATTCAGTAATAAATCTAAAAACGTCATAACGCCATGAATATTTTCCAAGCTTCAAGAGTGCCATGGAAATTGGCAGCAGTAATGCAAATACCTATTGAACGGGAAAACAACATTCCACCTCTTTCAGTTGAAAACGCGGAGACATGACTTATTAAGATCAAATGGAAGTAAACATTTACTGATGTAAATTGTTCAGTGAAAAGATGTTTTGACTCCGAGGCAAGGCTACATTTCTTTCAGTCGCTGTGACATTACCATGCATTGCTATATCAATGAAACCGCTGTATCTGCATAACGGGTTTAGCATTTACCGGCTAAGAAAGAATAACGTTGGATTTATGGTCGTTTTTAGGATATCCTTAGGATGACAGAGATATGTATAAAAGGCACCCCTGATTCCTCCTTCGTCGGCAACAATAGTTACCAAGTTTCAGTTGCCTAGAATATAGGGAAGATAAAAGCAAGGAGAAAACGGTAAGTGACACATTTTAAACCTAAAGAGTTAGGGAAACACAATGAGATGATCCCAAGACTGGACCACCTGCCATGATGAATTAATTCCTATTTCAACCAACTAGTGCGACAAACCTAGGTTTATAAAATATCAAAGAATCCTTGTTTTATTCTACTGCGAGGCAGATAATTACCAACCTTGTTTTCAATAATGAGATTTATTGGCGTTCACCATCAAAATATCCGCTCTGTAAAGCCATTAAGACCTTAAAATATGTCTTATCTTAAGCTGTCAACGTTTATTCGTGAGTGTCGTTGATTTATCTCTGCTATTCGGACAGAGTTCAGCTTCGAAGGTGAATTTTATAATGACTGCGAGCAGACAACCAAGAGGTAGTAGTTTGGCGAGAGCCCTTTCCCAACTACTTGTCTTATCTTCAAAAGTTTCCTATCCGTTCAGCATAATATTCAGCGCCTAAATTTTTATCAGCAGAAACCAGGCTTAGTGGGTTTTCATTAGTGCCAAAATTGTAGCCATTTTTGTGTATTTGATGGATTTATTCCTCAGTTCATCTGATGCAGGCGGATGAACTAATGTATCTAAGGTGGTATGGGCCTCTAAAAGTGCCAATTGGTTTCTCTTCCAAATCAGGGACTAAAATCTACGCATGTTTTGACTGATCAAATACATCCTATGGTATTACTAGTTTCATTCGTGCAGAAATTGTAACCATTTTTGTGTATTTGATGGATTTATTCCTCAGTTCATCTGATGCAGGCGGATGAACTAATGTATCTAAGGTGGTATGGGCCTCTAAAAGTGCCCATTTGTTTCACTTGCAAATCAGGGACTAAAATCTACGCATGTTTTGACTGATCAAATACATCCTATGGTATTACTAGTTTCATTCGTGCAGAAATTGTAACCATTTTTGTGTATTTGATGGATTTATTCCTCGGTTCATCTGATGCAGGCGGACGAACTAATGTATCTAATGTGGCATGGGCCTCTAAAAGTGCCTATTCGTTTCGCTTACAAATCAGGGACTAAAATCTACGCATGTTTTGACTGATCAAATACATCCTATGGTATCACTAGTTTCATATATCGAACACTAATCCCTTTAAGAACAGTATCAGTTCGTTTGAGGCTGAAAATTCATTCTCTTCATTTTCATTGTAACGTATCAGTGGCATCCTTTCCATTAAGAACTAAATTTTCCTTTCTAACTTTGGAGTATTATCGTGTAACGAACGTACTGTCAATAGTATTTCTGTCCGTCTGGTCCAGGTGTATAGGCCAGACTTTTGAAGGGACTAAATATGAGCTTTCATTTATTTCTAAGGGGACACTGTAGTGAATCTTGCAATCTGATTGGTTCTTACTTCGGTCCAGACTTTCATATCTCAGCTCACGGGCACGGCAACGCTTTTGTGAGTCGTTACAAATTTTCATGAATATTTGTCGTTTTGCCGGCTTTACAGTATTTTTAAACAAAGGCCTCGGACACGACCTTGACATATAACTTGTTAATCCTCTCCCTCTGGAGGATATTGCCGTAACGGTCTTTTTCTCTTTTTTTTTGGCAAGCATTCCGTTAAGTTTTAGAAGAAAATAAAATTTTTTTTACCGGCCTAAGTCGGTCCGTATCTGGAAAAACTGAGCCCTTTGTCTTTAGTTCCGCCCTCGGTCTTCGGCCCCGGGGGTATCCAACACCCCGGGGGTACCCAACACCCCGGGGGTATCCAACGCCCCGGGCACAGTTTTTTCTCATTACGGACCTCGCGGCTGGTGAGTAACATATTTGTTCTAAGGTATCGGTGTCATCTTCCCTTCTGGTGCAGGTGTTTGTTTAAGCCAAAGAGTCCGCTATGGCTTCCCTGTGGAAGACTACATTTCTTCGCACTTTTGGCTTCATAGCATGGGCCTCTTTAAGCGCTTGGTTGTTTTCTGTTGTGGAACATACGGGAAAAGATGGCAAAGAAGAGAAAGACCAGTTGTTAAAGTCCCTGTATATTTCCATGGCGTCTAAATACAACATGACTATCACAGATTTTAATAATTTTTCCAGCATCGCGCATGAAGCTCTGAGCCAGCCTAAGCCTCGGTGGACGTATGCTGTTTCCTTGGAATTCGTCTTTCAAGCTATGACTACCATAGGTAATGACCAGCTTCTCGAAATGAGACTATAGAAACTTGTGTAAAAATAAGGAAACTGGCGCCTTTATGAGTTGAAAGAATGGGAATATGATGATGTTAAGTGAAGTTGTCAATCGAAGGGGTTTGTGTCTTTATGGATGATAATTGATGTACAGGTAGAAATAATGGAACTACTTCGCTAGTTGGAACATTCGACGCCGAATTCGGATTCGGCGCCGGGTTGAGAACTTTCTTACAATTTTAGTACAATTGGCTAATTATTAGTGAAAAAAATATTCCAGAGAAGTAACCGGAGGATTACGGCTACAGGTCAAACAGGATTCGTGATAAGCAAACGAATGATAAAAAAAATATATTAATCACCCTCGCATTTTGTTCAAGTTTATTACTCCGATGATAAAGAAAAAGTTGAATTAGTACAAAGTTGCGGACTGGTCATTAGACATGAGACACCCTTCAAGCTCATGATGTTTGATTTTTAACCGATGATTGCGTAATTTCATCAGATAAGGTACACTACAGATAATAACTTTGGTATTTTGCAATTTGCAGGTTATGGATACATTACACCTCAAACACCCGCTGGTCAACTATTATGCATTTTCATATGCCTTCTTGGAATACCCATAACTTTACTCGCGCTGAAATCCGCCGGGGAGCTAATTGCTAAACTTGTTAACGCACTCGTAACAAAGTTTGAAAGCAAACTGCTGAAAAGAGCGCAACCGAAAAAAATAGAAATGAAAAGTGCTGTGATCCTGTTTATCCTGATGGTGACATTAATTGTGACAAACGGTGCGTTAGTTATGCGTTCACATGGCTGGACGTTCCTTGAAAGTGTGTATTTCTGGTTCGTTACGCTAACTACAATCGGTTTTGGTGATTACGTGCCGGAGAAACGAAAGCACTACCTGGAAAATTCTATTACGGAAGAAAAAGCCAAAAAAACTGGTCTACTGGTTTTTTCCAGTATGTTCATGACTATTTATGCCATGATTGGCTTATGCGTTGTTTCAAGTGTCATCAATTCCATCATGGCGGCTCTGGAGGAATTGAAGTTCCCTCGTGCGTGTCCCTTATGCGTCTCTCGAAAAACCCAGGACGAAATGAACACTGCTTTACCCAATTGCTCTCCAAAAAGGCAAGAAAATAGCACTGACAAAGTGAAAGTATGCCACTTAACTGAGATGTAGCTGACTGTTTAATAGCAATGAAATCTGTTTTGCGTCGAAGCTGCACATGAAAGCCTTATTGAAATTTAGAAAAACCTTGTTTTGGTATAAAATTTCTCAAATAGAAGAAGTTTTGAGGTCATGATGGCGATAATTCTTTGTGCAGTTTAAACGTATTTTTAATGACGTTATGCCGCCTAAAGTAAATAAACTGAGATAAGAGTGAAGTTATTTTTCGGCCTTTTCCAAACTTTAACAATCTGACTAATGCTTGTCAAGTTTGTTAACACAAAAAAAGAGGAAGAGAAACTCTTTTAAACAACTAACAAGCCTCAGATGGCATAATAACTGCCGATAGTGATATCTTTCATATCAGTATATAACTCTTAAAAATTTGCTTCAGGTATTAGTGGTGATGATGCCGCGGCAGCCATGATTATTTGGTCACGAACTTATTTTTCTCAGCCTCGGATGAATTCAGCTGAAAACTAAATCGAGCACTTCTGAAAGAAAAAAAATCGAGACGACTAGCTAAAATTGCCATGTTTACTTTTCGAAGGTTTCTCCTTGACAAGTTCCCCGCAGCAATATTTCCTCCTCAGCAATACCGACGAATAAAGATGCGACAAATATAAATTTGACGGTTCCCTTGCCTTGATCGTGGAGAATTGTCAAGGCTGGGGATGCAAAGAAAAACCTTGTCAAGGACGACTCCAATTTTCCAGTTTGGATAACTTGACACCGTTGAATGATAACAATACCCTTCAAGAAAAACATTTAAGAATGAAACAATATACAAATCGACGATGACAATAGAGTCTATGGAATAAATTCATTCGAGGAAATTCTCACACCTGCCAGTTAATCCTCAAAGGAGTCATTGACAAGTCTTCCACACTAAAGTAAACAAGTGACAATTCTGTCTTGATAAGTTAGAGTAATTACCAACAACAGCAATATGACCTAGCAGAGACGAGAACAAAAAAAAAGTTTTATCGATAAGGTCCCGAATAAAAAACATTTGGAAAATCAAACATTGAACTTGTTTGAGCATTTCCTCCGGACCCTAAAGTTCTTTGCGATTTCACATGGTTCGATTCCCTGTTCTCTTACAAGATCAAATTTTTATTTAGGATTATTGTTCCAGATTATGATGATAAATACGGAACAAAGAAAATAAAAAATTCAACTGATTTGAAAACTTTTAGCCGCAACATAAACAAAAAGATCAAAATTAATTTTTAAGTTGATCAATTTTTTAAGGTGTGACTGAAGTTCTTTGTTTGGTCTATTCTCGCATAGCGTATCTAACGAACGCCCCCTGCAGAGGTACATCATTGTTTGACTTTCATAAGCTTAGAGTATTACTCAAGACGTACCATTCATTATTACTTTGCATTATGCCTTGTAAGAGAACGTCGTAAAAAACCTGTGAACTGATTGTTGTGAATGAACTTAATACAAGACCTTGATAATTCTCAGAGTACTTGATCACGAACGTGAAAGCTTGAAGGGAAAGGTTAATTTGAGTTGGTGAAAAGGGTAATGTATTCGTGAAGAGAAACCTTATTCAGTTTTGCCTATTGTCTTAACGTACCAAACCTTATTATTTATATGGGTGAAAAAGACGAAAACCTCGGCCACATCGTCAACTAGTGTATTATGTAGTTTTACCCAATTGTGATTCATTTCTCAATTTGCATGCACACAAACAGAAAGCGCTGTCCTTTGAACTCATAAAATATTTATAAGAGTGAAAGTAATCAGGAACGAAAGAGTTGATAATAATGCAGAAAGCTCAGGTACATCGTCTGAAAGAGTCTTGGGATCACTAAAGATGGCAAAATTGTACTACTTAATACACGTTCTGCGGTTTCAGAGTGCCACACAGTCAGTATTCCACGAGCAAGTATGTACAAGCTAAAAAAAAAACTTTATCTTTCAAAATCTAATCAAGTTATTATTAGGGGGGCTGTAATTACTCCACAGGCAACATTACACGAAGAGAATGTTTATCCTTTCCTGAAAGAATCCTGAAATAATAAATTCTATTGTTACTCTCGGGCAGCAAGTCATTGAACGGCAGTAAATATTGTTCTGGCCAGTTTTTAAATGAACTCAATCATTTTTGAGTTTCTGGGATATGCAACCAAGAACTTAGTTACCGTAACCTGAACTAAAACAAATTGTATTTCCTATGCACTTTGATGATCTGTTTTATTTCAGGATTTGACTTCTCAGTACTTGCATGTCCTGAGATTAACACAGAATCCCAGTTTACATCGTTCGACGTTAAAACCTTGAACATGAAGCCACTTTTGAGGAGAGCACTTCTTCGATTCCTTGGCTTCTTCTTGCTAATCTTTCTAAGTCCTTTGCTATTCGTTCGCCTGGAGTACACAGAGAAGGACGATAAGCAGGAAAAATATCAGTTGTTATCCTCTTTGTACACGTCCATGGGGTCTAAATACAACATGTCTCTTGAGGAATTTAACATGTTTTGCAGTGTTGCGTATGAAGCTATGAGCGTTCCTAAACCACAGTGGACCTATCTTAATGCAATTGATTTCGTCGTACAGACTGTAACCACTATAGGTAAATAAGGCGGAAATACACTCTTTTCGTTTTGCCGACTTGGTTCATCCTTGTGTTATATTCGTAATGACTAGGTCTTTCTTTGACCATTTTGAACTTCTCAGAACTTCTCTAGGGAAGTGAGTTTTTCTTCCTCGTAACACACATATGAACTAAATTTATCCCCAGACGGAACTGCAAAGTCTTCCTAAGAGAGTTGAGTTGAGTGTTGGGACCTCTAGTGCCTCGACT